GGCAACATTATTATAAGTTCATTTGATGTGGTGACATTTGATGTGGTGACATTGAGAATATAAGTGATTATCGTCCAACTTCACTACTTTTCTCTAAAGTTTTAGAAAAATTTTTGTACAACAAAGTTTATAATCATCTTACTTTAAACAATTTATTATACAGCAATCAATATGGATTCCAAAAAAACAATTCTACTAAACATGCCATTCTACATCTGACTCACTTGAAAAATCTCAATTTACTTTAAGTGTTTTCATTGACTTGGCGAAAGCTTTTGATACTATTGATCACAAAATTCATTTATCACCTACTTATTTATTTATGAAACTAAAAATGTTGAAACTCTTTTAAATCACATATATATTAAACGGAGTTTTGTAAATAACAAATAGCAGTAAAATATAACATAAAAATAAAAAAAAAGTAAAAGATAACTACCTTATTAAAAAATAATAAAAAAAACATGTATTAAACTAAAATTTTATCCATTTTTCATTGCAGGCGCATTTGATATTATAAAAAAAAGAAAAATATGACTGAAGTTTCTAAGTTTTAAAAACTTCAAAATTTCAAAATTTTAGGTTTTGCACTTGTCTCAGATCAATACTTTTGATGTATTTAGTTGTTTTGTATATAAGAACTAAGTTTGAGACGGCGCACAAAAATAATTTTTTTTAAGGACACCCTAGTGTTCATGATACATCTATTGCGGTTAAAACGTATTTATGCAAATAAAGCTGTTCATATTACATTAGCAGTCTAATTTTTAAATAACGCGTTTGTAATGCAAATATTTAAATATTTAACAGTAAACATGATCTTCTTAACCTTTCTGTTTACTCATGATAGTTTTTAATAAAACTTTAAAAAACCCAAAGTTTTTTGAAAGGTTTCAAAAGCCCAATTGTAATGTGTATGCAATATAATAATGTTTACTATGTAATATATTAATGCGTATTATGTAATATATTAATGTATATTATGTAATATATTAATGCATAAAATAATGTGCATGTAATTTAAAATTATTATTAAAAAGTTGTTTTAAAAAATATATTTTCTAAAACAACTTTTCAATATAAATTTTATATTAAACACACATTAAGACTATAAATATACAAGTTCGGTTATATAGTATATAAGATATTCGGTTCTATATTTCATTATAATTTTTTTTTTTTATTGCTTAAGCAATGATTGTGAATTTTATGAATAGTTTCATAAAAGGCCGTTCCAAGTTGGCTTCAGGGCAAAATTAAGTCACGAAGTTTTAAAATCCAGATGTTATCTAAAAAGGAACTTAATAAATATGATTGGATAGACTTTTTGATATTTAGCAAGTATTTAAGGCAGTCCCTAATCACCGGAGTCTGGTAATATATTATCTCATTGTTGGAGCGCCCCTGCCTTTTTTTTTTTGTTTCATAATTATTTAAATGAGGTGATGTTGAAAAATAGAAAACAAGTAAAATTACTTTATTATTTTTTTTACAATTAATTTTGATAAAAAAGTTTATTTTTTTGGTTGACTAAATCTACTTTTAGTTGACTTCGATTTTCAAAAATAAGTCAATTTTAGTTGACTTTAGAAAATATATAAGTCAATTTATTCAACAGTCGAATTGTTTAAAAGTCAAAATCGTTTAAACAACAACAATTCAAAAATTAAGTTGAACTCATGCATTTTTTTTTCTTAAATAAAAAAGATATTGCATTACTCAGTTTCTTATTTGTGTTTTAGTTGGTTTTTCATGCTTTAAACTAAAACTTTAATATATTTGTGTGTCAAGTCAGGTGTATGGTCTTCATGATCACTCTACTACTGGTAACATGTAACCCAGTGCAACCTGTTCCGTGTTCTGCTGCCTTGTGGGATTCTCTTTATAAGCAAAAGCTAGTAATAGTTTTCTTCCTGTTATTGGTTAAAATCGGTCATGCCTATAGTAATTTATACACACTTATTTATTATTTTTTGTGTGTTTTTTTATATAGTTGGAAGTGCCTTAGTTATTGTTTTAGCTCACTTGTCATCTACTTTATATGTACGTTTGCTTTCTGCCTAAATCTCTGGCGCGGTGTTTACTCACCCGTAAGTTGCTATCTGTATACTTGTGTTCTGTCTAAAATTCTGATGCGGCATTCACTCACCCATAAGTTGCTGTCTGTATGTTTGTGTTCTGTTTAAACCTCTGGCGCGGTGTTGACTTGCCCGTAAGTTGTAATACGTTTATTGTAATACGTTCAGTATGTTTACGTTATGTCTGTTTATGTTTATATGTATTTTTGTCTTCTGTCTGAACCTCTGGCGCGGTGTTTACTCACTAGTTACTTTATTTACGTATGTGTTTTGCTTAAAAGTCCTGTTTATATGTTTAAATCTGTTTTAATGTAGTGTGAGCTCGTTAACTAAATAGACACTCAACTATAAAACCTATTATCACCTTTATCTCTAGTATTTTGTTAGATGCAATCTTTGCTCATGCATTTCCAAAATATCATGCCCAGTGTTTTAAGGTACTGTTTGCAGGAAGTAACTCTTCTTAACTAATCTAGGTCAGGCCAGGTTCAGGATCATCACAATCACCCTAATGGTATTATGTAACCAGTACAACCTGCTCCGTGTTTTGTGGCCTTGTATAGTGTGATTTTTTAGGCAAAGTCTAGGAGAAACAAACTCCGACATAAAAATCACCTGTCTTAGGGTTCTTGGTTAAGTAAAGGCTAGAGATGGTATCTTGATAAAAATACTTACCTTGAGCAGATGTTAACTGAATCCAGCTACTGTATTGTTGGAGTCATTCTAGGAAAATACTACCACAGAGTTCCGGAGACTTTACTACCAGCCTCCTAGGTTGATAGTAAGGTTTCCAGAACTCTGTGGTAGCTCTCGGAGAGGCTGATTCCATCAACAGCTGCAAATTATCAGAGTATTAACAGTGCCATGTTGCGTATGATTGGTGTCTATGTAAATTCTTTCAGGTGCGCATAGTTAAGGTTACATATTTATACATAATTAACAGGACTAAGAAAATTGCATAGCTCATTGCTTAGGAGGCCATGTTCTATCTATGATGGGGTTAAGTTCTCTTTAAACTTAAAGTGCTAAAAGTAACCTGGAATATGAAACATAAAAAACCATCCCCATCACTTAACTGTTTTAACATATCTTTTACTAATATTCGTCATTACCAAGGTTAGTCTAACATTTCATCTCTCATTCTTGGGAATGATCTTCTAACCTCTCCCATAACAAAACTATTTGGAAAGCACTTTTCTTTTAATTTGAATCTCGAACCTTATGAACATTCTCTTTCTTCAATTCCAAATAAACAGATTGTTAGACATTCAAACCACTCCAGTTTCCGTTGCTAAAGTCATATCTCACAATGTGACTGAAAGATTTTATTGTGCGTTAGATGGAGGTGGAGAGGCTAGGGCTATAACTCCCCAGCTAGTACACTTACATTGGTCGAACGTTTGTAAAACCATCGCGATCGTCGGCTTTTTTTTTCAATGCAATACCAACGTTGATCCAATTATTAATGATAAAATTATTACCGACGGAACTAAAAACATCTGGCAAATTTACATTGGTCCAATGTATATAAAAACATGGCAAAAAGTTGATTGTTTTTACGATCTAAACCCAATGTTGATCTAATGTTTATATTTTGACGTTGATTCAATGTATATAAATCAACGTTTTTCCGATGTATGCAAAAACATCGAAAAAATTTGATTGATTTCACGATCTTAACCCAACGTTGATTCAATGTATATACCTCGACATCGATTTAATGTATATACATCAACTTTTTTCCAATGTATGTAAAAACATCGCAAAAAGTTTATTGTTTTTACCATCTAAACCCAACATTGATCCAATGTATATATTTCGACTCGATTCAATGTATATAAATCAACGTTGATCCAATGTATGTAAATACATCGCAAAAAGTTGACTGTTTTTACGAACTAAACCCAACGTTGATCCAGTGCAAATATTGCAATTGCGAAATTGTATATAACTTCCCAGTGGGCACACGACGCTATTTCGACGTTGATTTACAGTTGATTTTTAGTCGCGACGTCGTATAACCAAAAATCAACGTTGTATCAACGTTGATTTTTTCTGAAATTTGTTTAAAACTATCAAATAAAATCGACGTTGATTCCACGTTAATTCAACGTCTATATCAGCGCTGGCCAGACGTTTTGTCACAAGAGCCGCATTTATATACTTACGTGAGCCGAAGAGCCGCAACAACTTCATGTTTGTTTTTTTATATAAGAAACTTTTATACTCTTTCTTTTGATAATCTGAATTTTAAGAGACTTTCGTACTAGATAAGTAAAAAAAAACTACCCAAAAAATAAGAAACTTCTATTACTAGCCCATTTTCTTGGTTTCATATAAAAACAACAATTTGTAATTCACTATTTAAAATCATTTTTTAAAGAAAATTTTTTAGAAAATTCAAATTATTTAGAAAATTCCATATGCTCCTAAGGGGTGGAAATAATTGTTGTATTACTATTCAACAATATCATTTTAATATGAAATTTAGATATTTCTTGGATACAAAAAGTCATTTTTTAAAGATTTAAGTAAAATATGTATACAATTGAATTTAGTTAATTGTATTAAAACACTCAATAAATTTTTTAAAGAAAAAACTATTCCTTTAAAGTTTTGTTTACAATGCCATTATATCTGATTTATTTTATAAAATTCCCTTCAGACTAAAAAATCATTTCTATAATTTCGACAATCACATGATCACACTGATTTTGCACAGCACACGATTAGGTGCTGCGCAACACACTGATCTTTTTTATGATAGATTTTTGCACAAGCACATGCTGATCATAAACTTTTTTTTAATTAACAAAATAATAACAATACTTATATCAATGAAATAATAATTAAAAAACAACACTAAAATTAAATTATTTTACTTGATTTTTACAATCAAGAAATAACTTTTTCATCATTTTATCAATTTTTTACTTTGATCAAACTAATACTCATAACTTTACTGGTAAGTTTCTTAAAATCTGGTTTCAAACTTGTAGTGGCTGTTCTAAGTAACTCAGACAAATGCTCAATGGTTAGATTTGCACGATACTTTGATTTGACAAATTTCATAGTAGAGAATAAAGATTCACATGTATACGTTGAACCGAAAATTGAAATGAATTTTATGGCAATCTTTTTAAGTTGAGGATACTTAACCTCGGGAACTATCTTCCAAAATTCCATAAAAGTTATTGTTTTATGCAGCATAAGTAGATTTTGATCTTCTTGGAGATCTAGTAGTTCCATTTCAAATTGAGATATATCTTCAAGCATTTTTTCAGGAATTGGACAGCCATTACTAATAATATTAATTAAAAAAGGATTTACTATAAATCCTAAAGAAGATTTTAGTTCATGCAAATCTTTAAACCTTTTTTGAAAGTCTTTTTGTAAATCCAAAGTTTGTCCAAGTATGATTCAATCTTATCGTCATCATACTGAATTGAAGGATTAGAAGTAATCATCTTCTTCATTTGAGGAAAATGATTAAATTTTTTCAAGCTAAGATCTTTCTGAAAAAGAATAATTTTTTTTTGAAAACTAAATATCGTTTGCGCAAGATCAGATATATTTTTTTCTTTTCCCTGAAGAAACAAATTCAGACTTTTTAAATGTTGCATTATATCAGTCAAAAATAAAAGATCTTGCACAAAATTTATATCGTCTAGGATTTCAAATGTCTTTTCTTTTTCAATCAAAAAACATTTAATTGGCTCTAATAGTTCTACAAATTTATAAACAACATCACTACTTGAAAGCCATCTTACAGAACAGAAAAATGACACGTCACTTGGCTCATCAGCAAGATCCAATTCATTTATAAAGTTTCTAAACTGTCTGTGATTTTTTGCATTTGCTCGAATATAATTTACAATTTTTAAAACAGATTTAAAAACAATCGGAAAGTTAAAATGTTTTGCATCTAAATGTTCTCGATGAACGGGATAAATTCTGGATACTTAGGGTCACTTTTTAATAAGCCTATAAGTCCTAAATGTTTTCCAGCCATTGCTGATGGACCATCTGTAGCAACACTAACAAGCTTGTTGATAGGTACATTAGCTTTAAGCAGAGCTTTGTCAAGGGCTTCCTTGATATCAACTCCACGAGTTGTGTCTTTCAACTTAACTAAATCTAGTAACTCTTCTTTTACAATTACGTCTGACAGATAGCCATTCCAGACGATTTTTTTATAATTGAAATATTCAAATATAATTGATGTCATTGTATAGAGCTTGGTTTGACTTAAAAAATGAGGGGTCATTTGGCCTTTGAAGTTAAGCGGATCAAAAGTTATTGACCTTTTTGTAGTGAAAAAACGGGTAATTTTTTGACAAAAGGTATAGGGCTTAAGTATGGAAAAATTACTGCGAAATGGCACCGAAAATGAAAGTATTATTGACATTTGAATAACTTTTGAACCGATGATACATTTGACTTGAAATTTTACATAGTGACCAATTAACTATAAGAAAATAAAATTCCAAATTTTTTTTTTAGAAATCTGTCAGGATTGACCAGAATTTATCTATTTTACAGACCAGAATTTTTACTAATTTATACATTTTTAGGGTCATACTGACGTTTTAATAACTTTTGAATCGTTATTACATTTGAATTGAAATATTCTATAGCAATCCAACAACTATAAGAAAATAAAAAACCAAAATTTTTTTTTTTTAAATCTGTCAGGATCTACCAGGATCACCTATTTTACAGACTGAGAGTTTTTACTAATTACTATATTTTTGGGGTCATACTGACTTTTGAATAACTTTTGAATGGTTATTACTTTTGACTTGAAATTTTTCATAGTGATCAAAAAACTATAAGAAAATAAAAAACCAAAATTTTATTTTAAAAAATCTGTTGCGATTGTCCAGAATCATCTATTTTACAGCTGAAGGGTTTTACATTATTTTCTTAGTTTTGGAGAATAAAATTTGGGGTGATATTATAATTATACCATGTGAATATGCATAAAAGAATCATGGAATCCAAAAAATAAAACATTTGAAAACTATTGCGTAATTTACAGACCGGTCAGTGAAATAATCATATAAATTACTTTTCGGTCAGTAAATTGCTGAAAATGGGCTGTTCAAACAAATTAAACATATCAACTTTAAATAATTTGTAATTTTTTTAAAAATTTTAATATTTTTGAACCGTTATTACATTTGACTTAAAATTTTAATTAGTGATCCAGTTTTTATTAAATCTGTCGGGATTATCCAGAATTGTTTATTTTACAGACTGAAGGGTTTCTACTTATTTAACTGTTATGATGAAAAAAATTATGGTTGCACTATGCAAATATGCATAAAGGAATCATGGAATCCAAAAAATAATTTTCAGACCTGTCAGTAAAATTATTGGATAAATTACAGACCGGTCATTAAATTACAGAAAAAGGGATGCACAAACCAATTGGGCATATCGACCTTAAATATATTTGATATATTTGAACAGTTATTATATTTGACTTGAAATTTTAAATAGTGTGCCAGTTTTTATTGAATCTGTTGGGATCATACAGAATCGTCTATTTTACAGACTGAAGAAATTTGAAATTAAAGTTTTTGATAGAGATACAAAAAAAATTATGGCATTTAATTTTCTTATATACTATAAGAAAATTAAATGCCATAATTTTTTTTGCATCTGTCAAAATTATCCAGAATTGTTAATTTTACAGACTAAAATGTTTTTATTTATTTACCTAGTCTTTTAAAAATGAATTTAGATTTAAATCTTTTAGAAAAAAAAGAAAAAAATTTAGGTTATATTATAAAACTTCATGCTATATGCATAAAGGATTGTGGAATCCAATTAATTCATCTGTTTAAAACTTTTGCTTTATTTACAAACCGATTAGTAAATCACTGCGTAAGGGCATAGAAATAAATCATTCAGAATTACCTATTTAACAGACAGAAGATTCTTTAATAAAACTAAAATTCAAATTTGAACTCTACCTAAAATTGTAATAAAATTATTATTAAAAACAATACATCTAAATACATACAATATAACATCAAATAACATTAGATACACAATAATTTAAAAAAAATATTTGTTAATTCATTTTAAAAATTAAAAATTAAAAAAAGTTATAAATTAACAATTAAAACTAAATAAATATAAAATAAGAAACTTATTTTTTGAGATTTGTGAACTATCGACAACACCTAAGATGAAAAAATGAAAACAACATTAAAACAAAAAATATTGTTTGTCTAAAATTTATCTCTTGGCTTTTAGTGAATGATTAGAAGTAGTTTCAGTAACGAAACAACCTAATAATCATTTTTAACGATAGACACCAGCGAGAAGGTAAGCCAAGTTGTCTATCAACACAAAACATCACAACAATAACATCACAATCACAAAACACAGACCCTGTGGCACTAAACGCTGCAAAAAACGCTGGGGCAGATATTCTAATGACGCCCTTTCGCTTTTAGACAAGGAGCAAAAATGCATTGTAAACATAGTTGGACCTGCTCTTGCAGCCAACCTCCAACCATTATCACATCGTTGTAATGGTGCTTCTCTTTCTCTTTTCTACAAATATGGGCACTGCTCTAAATAGCTAGAGTCCCTTGTTTAACTACTAAAATTCATTCTCTTGTGACTGTTTCCAAGTGCTCCAAAAACTCTTATTCTTCTATTTTTTTCCTCGAACATCAGTTCTTTGGAATTCGCTTCCTTTATCTTGCTTCCCTGTTTCATATAATTTGCAATCTTTTAACTCATCTGTCAATTATTATCTTACTCTACAAACTTCATCTTTTCTCTTCCAGTAACTTCCAACTCCTACAATGATTGCTTGCAGCCTAGTTGGAACAACTCACAAATATACATACAATGACTTACTGTTGTTTCAATGCTGTGCCACAAGACCAACAGACACAAACATAAATAAAAAAAACAAAAACTTGATCAAAATGACTAACCTGCATTATCAAATGAAATTATAGTCATTCCACAGTTCCAACAAAAGAGTAAGATACATATAATGACTTACAGGTAGATAAACACAAAGATACACATAATGACTACATAAATACAAACATACATATAATGACTTACGGGTGGGTCAGCACCGCTCCAGAGGTCCAACAGAACACAAACATACACATAATGAGTAACAGGTATATAAACACAAACATACATATAGTGACTTTGGGTGTGTCAACACCGCTCCAGAGGTCTAACAGAACACAAACATACACATAATGACTAACAGATACATATACACAAACATACATATAGTGACTTACGGGTGCGCCAACACCGCTCCAGAGGTCCAACAGAACACAAACATACACATAATGAGTAACAGGTACATAAACACAAACATACATATAGTGACTTACATGTGCGTCAACACCACTTCAGAGGTCCAACAGAACACAAACATACACATAATGACTAACAGATACATAAACACAAACATGCATATAGTGACTAACAAGTGAGTAAAAACAAACATGCAAATAATTGCAGACACACCTACAAAAACATACATGCAAACACAAAAAAATGTAAACACAAGGATACATATATTGACAGGTATGTCAGCACAAAAATAGAAAGCATGAATTACGGGTATGTCACCATGACGGCAGATGTCCAATAGAAAACAAATATACATATAAAGAATTGTCGGTGTGCCAACACCGCTCCAGATGACCAAACAGAACACAAACAAGAACACATTAAATTGAATGACAATAAAAAAAATAATAACAATAATATTATTAATAATAAGAATAATAACAAACATAAATACAATAAATTAAATCCCCATTGTGTCAAAAATGATATTAACTGCATTTTTGTTTTTTACAAACTTCACCCTCCACATAACCATCAGCTTTTCCCTCTACCACAACACATTTCATCCTCCACTCTTTGACCAACTCAATATCATACTTATCTTCATATCCATCATATAGTATCTGAAACTCACACTCTTCATCAAATTCATTGTCGTCTAGAACACTAACCACGAGCCCTGAATACCATACATCCTTGCCATCATTATCTACCATTTTATGTTTTATTTTTTTTCCTAAAAACTTTGGAACCCCTCCCTTTGATGTGCCTGTTCTTATTTTACTTCCAGTTTCCATAATTAACCTAGCGTCACCCTCTAATCCGATTTTTTTTTTTTTAATGTTAACAACATTTCTTGTCTTTCATTAATCTGTCTGATAACTGAACATTTTATTGCAGTTGCGCGTTGTTCAGGAACGTCTTTTAAAAATTTAAAAATTGATATTAGATTGGTTTTTAATTTATCAATACCAAATATTTTGTAATACTCCCCTTTTGCCTTTTCTCCTAATTGTAACCACTTTTCTGGAAATTTTTGCTGTAATACTTTTTTTCGAAATTTAATTTGTCTTTGCAACTTCATTACAATTTCATTTTCAGTTCCTAAAATTTTTTCAAAATCCTCTTCACACAAAATTAAACCACCATCCTTTCCGATTTCTGTTGTCAAAAACTCTTTCTCTTCGCTTGCCTTTTGTTCCTTTATTTCCTTTTCTAAGTTGCGCTTGTCCATCTCATCAATTTTGTACTGCAATATATTTGCTTTTTTCTCTCTGTACTTTCTTATATACCCTTTTCTATTTCGCCTTGCTAATATAACTAGTCTTTCAATTTCTTCCTGTGATTTTCCATCTATCCAATCAGCTGTTTTGTTGTTGTTAAACATGATCACACCAGCTGCAGCTACTGTTGTCATGTTAGGTTTCATTTTTAACCTGCGGTCATAGGAAGCAAAGTCACGTTCAGACACAACATTAGTACGTGGGCAGTTTTGAGTTTCTTCAAGCACATCATCAAAAAATGTTTTTTAAAGTCCAAATTTTTGGCTCGATTTAATTTTACAATGTAACCTTTTAACTTTTTAAGGATCCTTATAAGCATCACTCTAGAGATATTATACTTACAGTAGGTTGTAAAAAATAATGAAAGATTTTCTAATGTTATGTTATGTTTATTTTTGTCTTTGCAAATTTGTAGAAAATGACTATTAGTTAACACAAAATCAGGATGTTTGAGAGAAATAATGCCATCATTTATATCCAGAAAATCCAAAATATTCTTGCAGGTTGCTTTTTCAGACAACACTTTGGTAGCTAAAATTAATATTAAATTTAATTTGAGTGATTACAATAAATCTATTGTTAATCAAAGAGTTGAAGTTTGATAATATCTAGCTTTGTGAAAATAAAATAAAGGTAGATCATCAAGCTTAAGATTCTATAAATAAAATTATTGAAATATAAAATATTTGTTATACATTTTTCCGGATTTAAAAATTTAAAAAGTCTATCAAAGTATGACTTACATTCTTGACTTATAGATTGAACCACCATTTCACGTAGATTGTTAAGTTCACAGCCTAAAAAAAAGAATTTGAATTTGAAATTAAAGTTCATTGGTTATTTTCCTTAGCCATTAAAAAATATAAAAATAAATGAAAAAAAAAATGATAACATTCTTACACATTTCCATTTTGTAAACTTTAGACTAAAAGTTTAGTTAATTACTATTTCTTTTTGTTTTGAAAAAAACAGTTTAGAGAATCTACAGACTAAAAACAGTGAGAATCAAGCTTGTAGTTGAGCGATCCAGAAAAAATACCTTTAAAAATATAAAATCTTTATTTTTATTGCCTTGAAAATTCAAGTCATTAATAAGGAATATACTTTCATTTTCAATTTTATTTGTAGTTAAAATTTCGG